TCAACTGGCCGTCCTGGGCGAGGATCGTCTTCAATTGATTCTCTGCCATGTTTGAAAAGACCGTGCCATTTGTAAATCATTGTTTTACCAGGGCACTGATCCCCATAAACAGTTTCCATCTCATTCATAATGGTTTGAGGAGGTTTTCCTTGCTTGGTAAGGAATTTGATGACAGCACGAAACTCGATTTGCTCCATATTTGCAGTTTTCTTCCGGATTTACTTGTTTGTAGGGCGATATCTCGTAAACTAATGAAGTTAAAAGGGTGAAGCTTGATATATATACCCCTAATGAGTATCTGATTAGTACCACATCAAGCAAGCGTAATTAGCGGGCTCCCGCCCCCTCCATTCCGCGGACTTTTGGACCTCCCCTCGTATTTGGTGGTGGGGTGCGAGTAGCGACGGCGGGGAAGTGTCATATTGAGCGCGCGGTTGGTAGACCAGTCGACCTTGCTTCCCGTACTGCGTCTACGTCACGCTGACATCCCACATAATTCCATTCTTGTCTGTCACAAAATGCCACGTGGTTTGGTTTGGTATGTAAACAAGAGTTAGTACTGCAAAAAAAAAAAACCGCTACTATGTTCAGCAGACCCTGCGTGGTAATCCACCAAGTACAAGCTAAGTACTTCTAGCAATAATTTCATGTTACCTAAAGTTGTTAAGTACCAAATCTAAGTTACAAAAAACTTTGTTCAGTCGACTTTTCTAATTAATGTAAATAAATAGTAAATTATAACAATACTAGTACATAATCATAATTTAAAAAATAGGTAAATAAGCGATCGAGAAAGATTACGTATCACTCGGTAAAGCGGGTGGCGGATCACTGCCCTTGCGTGGTGCACACAATTCCGAGACAATTTTGCAAAACTTTACTAGATACAATTAGCCAGAACATTGAACAGAATAATTTTTTAAATATTTTTAGATGATTTAGCATTATTTCTATGATTAACTTCTTAAATATGGCTAAAATGCAAATCAACACACTGTATATCAAACATAAAAAAATATCCTTTGTTTAAAAAAGTGCACTTTTACAATAGATCAATTATATCGTTGAGGATCACATAATTATTATCACTTGTAAATAAACATTTGTACATGTTTATCATACACAATATTTATTTCAAATATCATACATCGAACCATCAGTTTGGTTCGATGTATGATATTTGAAATAAATATTGTATTGTAAGAGTACCTACCGGCTTCCCGTGACCTCAATAAGGTCATCGTTCCATTTAACAAATGGCGTGACCTACCACGTTTCCTCGAAATAGTCTTTCTAATCTTGATTTTAGCAGTACAGCTCATTGTTAAAGCACCCGTCCAGGGAATTATTGCGTTGCGGTTTGAAGGGTTTAAGGGTGGTGGTGAAATTACAGGCACGTGGGACTTCTCAACTTACGGCCGCTTTCTATGTTCAATCTCAATCCATAATTTGCTATCTAAGCTTAAATAATCAATCCAAATCCTATTTTTACTATTTCAATAACCGATCGATGGATCGTTATTCCGATCTTTTGTTTCAATCCATCTGTAAGAGGGCGTATGGCATTTTTAGATTGACATTTGTATGGTAGTGACAGTTGTGCGCTTTCAATATCCAATCCATAGTTTTGACAAATCGGATTTTGCACGTATTCGATCTATCCAATTTTGACCGATTGTACTGTACTGTGTAATCGTGTAAAAATGGAAGTTATTTTTAAGTGATAGCGACTGTGAACTTGAACATTTGCTCAGTTATCGCACTGGGATAATAGCGACAGCGACCAAGAGCAGCTTGTGTCCTCAAGAACGTTTAGGCGTATAAACATCATGGTAAGTTTGACTGACGCTGAATTTACATCCAAATTTAGGCTGAACAAAACATCAGATGAATTTGTTTTAACTGAAATAATGCCGTTTATCAAAGTCAAATCATAACGGTATTTTTATAATTTAGATTATTTATCACGTCACGAATACGAACAAACGTCAACAAAACATAAATGGACACTAACATTTCGCCGCTGCCGCCGTGTGCCGTCCCTTTATTTTCTTCCATCCTGTATGGCCGTCTCGCTCGTTTGACAATAAACGTTCCGTTCTGGACAATAGACGTTCCGTTCTGTTCCTCGAAACACGTTATTCTTGCCATACTTACGGTTTAAATATTTTATACTTGAAAGTTTGCAATTAATTTATGTTTCTGCCAAAATCACATGTATAAATAAATTTATCTTAGAAACATAACCATCATTGTATTCACTAATTCATGTAATGATCTTTTACTCCGATTGCGTAAAACTAAACGTCAGAGAGGGAGTAAATTTACGACCGATCCTTTTTTTTTAAGGGCGCTAGAGCCGAGATAGACATATTGAAATACAGATTCGGCAGCGATCGATGGATCGAATAAAATCTGGATAGAAAACAATCTTAGATTCAGGATCAAATACAGAAAGCGGCCGTTAATGTCTCAGAGTGACTGGCGCAGTGCCGGTGTCCTTCGGACCTTTGCGATTTAAAGCTCTGAATGGCACTTCAGTTGCTATAGACAGGCGTGTCGTTTACCACCAGGGGCACGACTGCTGCTATTCTCGCATAGATTTTTTGCGTTCATGTCGCTCTCACGCTAATCGCGCCCTGTTGTGCTAGCCCTACTGATTTATTTATTTCATGAAATTACACAATATTACAGCAAAATATCAAGGCTCTGTGAAATTTATAAATAGACAATTTGTATTAATAACTCACAGAAGACAGCCACTGCGCTCGTCATTGGTGTAATTTCACCAGGTAAGGGTCCCAAACCGCAACGCAGTAATACTAACGTTACCGCTTGGCGGCAGAAATAAGTAAAGTGGCAGTAGTTCTCTGGATGAACTCGTTCACAAGGAGTTCTACTGCTACAAAAAGTACGAAAGTTTCTTCACTCAGGCAGATACCAGAAGACAGATAAAAATGTCGCTGTATAAAATGTAATATTTTGTGTAATTTTTTATTGAATACCGTTATGTTTTTAGTACCATGACATTCATCTATTCATAATTTCGACTCATCCGTAGAACAAAGACCTACGTGCAAGATTGCTTATTCTCAGGACATTATACATTTCGTTCGCTGTTCTTAGTTGTGGATATCAGATCGACCAAGGATCGATTTTATATTTCCGAAACGAAATAATAGATCTAATTATGAAAACACTTATTAGCTAGGCCTTATTTTGCATAAGGAGATTATGTATTTATCGTATTTTCGTTGTATAATCACATCGGACTCTGTTCTTCGGATGAGTCGATTTGATCTCAGTATTAATATAAAACATATCTGTAATGAACTGCGTGCCTCTGTGGCCTAGCGGTTACCATGCTGGACTGCCACGCAGAGTGTTAAAACTTATTATTACTTATAATTTTTAAGAACCTTTTTAACCGGCTTCAAAAAAAGGAGGAGGTTCTCAATTCGACTGTGTTTTTTTTTGTATGTATGTTACGCGATAACTCCGGTATTTGTGAACCGATTTTCATGGTTCTTTGTTGGAAAGAGGGTACCTACATAGTGGTCCCATTTAATTTTGAAGAAAATCATCCACTTCTAAGGGTGGCTGTTCACGCATGACGATTCATTTTTATAAATAGCGCCTAAATTTTGTTATTTTAATAGTTGATTTTGCTATACGCCAATTCAAGGCGTTTTTCTCTCAATATACTTTGAGTAGTGACAACCGACTTTTATTATCTCCTGTGTCAAGTCCCGTATAGTGGCAAACTAGAGGACGGGAGAGGAGAACCAGGTTAACCGATTTCAATAATACTTGGTAATTATGTGAAATTCCACGTACTTTTGAGGTCGGGTTTTTTAGTACTCTGTACTGAGATTGTTGAATTTGAAATTTGTTATTGACACGTTCATTGTTCTTTCATTTTATCGAATATATCATCTTTATTTATTTATTGAAGGACATGCAACAGCATACAATTCAAACTTTAAAAATTATTTTATATGACCAGTATATAATGCCAATTACAGGATATCACAGAAGCTTAAAAAATAGCATGACGTGACAAAGTGTGCTTTGAATAATTGCGTTCAACATAAAAAAGTATATTACAAATTAGTACCTATATTTAAATTTATTTACTTGTAATAAAAAAGCAGAATTATTTTAAACAATTACATTTAAAAAATAATTATAAATATTGTAAATAGAAGGTAAAATTTTAAAGGAACAATTTATAATTTAAATGATCGTCATAAGGGATAAAGAAAAAGAACTCGAGTATCTCACTTAGGGTGATCAAATTACTCCACTAATGTTTAGAATGTGCAAAGATGTCAATGTTACTGAAAAACTTGTTATACGTAGTTGTAAGGCGCGAAACAATGTCAATATTGCGAAACTCATACGTTTTTTCTCTTCTTAAAAGCTACAAGACAGAGGTCTCGGGTTCGATTCCCGGGCCGGGAGAAATATTTATATGGCCTAAATTTATTTTTCTCGTGAGTGTTTGGGTGTAATTTGTGGTTGTCTATGTGTGTGTCCATGGCACCCGCGATACAGGGCGGTACTAGTGCGGGCAATGAGTGTATTTAAAAAAAGACTGCATATCAAGTTACACATAGACGGATTTTGTTCCGTTGCCTGGAGACATCCGAACAAAAATAATTGGGGGTTGTACTACAACCCTACTACAAACTAGGAAATTCCCTGTATCTATAAGTACCAGAGCAACGGAACTAGTAGGGCACTTCCCAGAATACACCCAGACCAGAACTAAAGAAAAATATTTGTCTTGCCTACATTTTGCCTATAACTGTGCCCCCGTGGCCGAACGGTTACCATGCCGTACTGCCACGCAGAGGGAGAAATATTATGGCCTACATTTATGTATTTATGGCTATGAGAACCGTTGGGCCACCAGCGGGGTGGTCAATATAAATAAATATTGCAAATACAATTAAGAATTTTAAAGTTGTGATAATAATTAAACATATTGTGCGCAGGTGCGAGGAGGCAGCACTGGAGTCCCGCCGCCAGCACCGCCAGCTCTCGAAGAAAAGCGGTCGCCGTTACAACCACAACAGCAGGGTAGGGCGCCGCCCCAGCAGCCGCAACCAGTACCAGGTATGTTATTAGATTAATTACAACATAAATGTTATATCACAAAAATAAACCTAGATAGTACGGCGATGTCGGCGGGACACGCGTGCTACAACCTTGACATATCGTCAAGATTCCCCGAACGCTCTCTCAGTATGCATCGATCCCTGCTACAGTGCACTTGCCATATTGTGCTGTTTCTAACTACCAGTAGCGAGAAGTGAAAATTGTCTTTAGTAAAGCCTGAGCAAACCAAAAAACACTTAAGAAATGGCGCCTTGGTGCCAATTAAACACAATATTTATTAGCACACAAGATACCAGTGCACTTTATTTAACTGAGTAATTATATTGTACACGTAAATTTGAGCACAAAATGTAGTAAATAACTTTTAAATATTTATAATACGTGATGGTACGTGGAAAATGTTAGACAAGCTGATGAGAATTTAGTTATATGTACGCCGCGACGCCTAACTACCTAAATAAACTGCGACTGTCAGTTGTTAAAAATGAGTCATCTCCTTTCACGGTTAAGTCATTTTCAATAACTTAAATCCTGTTTTAATAAAGTAAACACGAAAAATCGTAAAGTAATGAAGAAACTTTTGTTACAATCACAATATAGCTATACTCAACTTTCATTGCGTGCTACACAAAATGCATTCTGCCTCAGCGGTCTACGTAGCGAGCAGCCTATAACAAAATAAGTTTGACATCTTCTGTCATGTCCAACGTCGCGGAATGGCACGTGTGAAGTAGTGATGTAGTGAAGATAATGATTTCTATGTAATTTTTCAGGACGAAGATAGAAATGTGGTGTTAAATGTAGTAAACGCAATAATGTTCCTTATAATTGACGTAGTTAAACAAAATAGTTATTTTTGATACAAGTGCGGAAAGTTAGTCATTATTCACGAGTCTCGAGGCATCTCGGCCCGAGCCAGAGGCGAGGTTCAAGACTCGAGACAAGTGAAAATGACAAATCGGCATGTGTATCAAACAACGTTTTTTAATACATTTGCGAAAAACCTACATTGAAAGTAAAATAAAACAGTATTTAAAAAAAAACCTCATTTTATTCCTTTGTCAATAACAAAATCAAATCGTAAAAAAGTTAATGAAAAAGGCGGGAATGTAAACGATGAAAAAAATTAGTACTTTATTGGCCGACTTTTTTCAATATGGCAACTGTTGCCAGTATTCAGCCACATTAAAATTACTATATTTTTTATTACTTACTTTACTATAAATTACTTTATTTTCTACATAATCGCTACTAAGGAGCATTTACTTCATAGGTGTAAAAATGCGGTCTCCATAGATATAGTATAGTAATGACGAATGACTTACGTCACAAAGCACATAAATATGAAATAAATATACAATCTCTTTAGTTCTATGTTTAAGACTTAAAACAACAGTAAATTAAAAAAAAACTGGAAAAGTAAAAAGCACTAGTGCGAGAAATCCAACTTTCCGCACGATTTGTAGTGCGAAAAATACCACGTTTTGAGCAACTGTATTAAAAAGGATCTAATCCACATCCACTCACTTTCGAAATATGGCAGTTTGAAGTTTAAAAGTATTTCTCATTCTTGTTTTATTTTCAAAACTTACAATGTCATGTTACTCCAGAGACATTTATTTATGTTTATATGTTGGATTTTTTTTGCTGATCTAAGAGGTTATACTTTTGGTACATATAACTCATTATTTGATAATATTGTGGATTGGATACTTTTTGCTTAACTACGTTCAATTGATCCTTTCGAACGACATGAAAATGTAGGTTATCACATTTTCACATATGGTCGGTTCGATACCAAGGTCAAGAAAGCCATTTTTCAGAAATCTTTGAATACGGCATTATTAACTTTTAAAAATAAAATTATGTCACCAAAAAGCAAAATAGCCTACCTACAATATTTAAAGTACTCGCACTCCGTTTAGCATCGCCATGGGATGAACCGTGTATATAGTACAAACTGAAATGGCAGTGGTTGATTCCGCGTATCAGAGAGTGCAGAATTAATCACTTTGAGAAAAAAAAAATATAGTAAAAGTGAGGATGTACTCTGATTACTAATACTAAAAAATTTCCTAAAAAAAAAACACAAACTTCCTCGAAGTTTTACGATAAAACCGCTGTTCAATAGGTATTTTATATATATATCAATGCTTTTTTTTATATCAACAGAACTAACTAGGACACGTATAGTATATACATTTTTTGAATGGCTTTAATTTCGTTTGTAAAAAAATAATTTCTGAAATAAAACCATTAATTTGAGCTGAGGTAAATCAGCCTACAAATAAACTCAAAATAACTGCCTTGCCCATTGTCCATCCGTTTAAGACGCCGCAGACAGACATACAACGATAGGCTTCACACTTATAACCCCGCTCTTTTTTAAATAGTAATGTATTACCAGTTAGGGTGTTGCAAACAGGCTAAAAAAACTATAAATTATTATAGTTATGTATTGAAAAAATTTCCGTTTTTAAAGACTGTTTTTTTACGTCCTATTTTAAAACTTAAACTTGATTAAAACCAAAACTGAATTTTAAAACAGGTCTAATTATTTTAAATCTAAAACATGGTTCCCTAAAAAATGTTTTCTAAATGACGCCTTCGCCCTTTCTACAACACACTAACAATGTATTATATATAAAGCTACAAATTCTTACTGATAGAAATAGAACGCATACTTCCCGATACTTGGAAAAAAGATATTTACACCGTTGTACGCGGATAGATTCCAAAGCAAAGAATCAAATATGAGAAGACCTACATGTGGAAAAAATGAAAGAGTGATCAACGGCCTGCAAAAACTATAATATATGGAGGTAATATTTGTGCACTTTTATGAGGTACACCCTGGTCAATTTCCGCCGGAAGTAAAAAATGTTCGAATTTCAAATAAATAAGATGGCCGCCATACGAATTTCAAAGTCTCCTATCACGGAAACTATTAGAGATAGGTAGGAGGTGCTCGAAGGAATGTCATAGAGATTGATAGTCTATAAGGTATGTATACATGGGTCTTTGTTACCTGATATAAATAAATAAATAAATAACTAAATCAATAAATAAATAAAGATAGTGGTCAACTGCCTGGGTTAAAAAAAACAAGGTGGTGGATTTAAAATGGCGGCCGAAGGAAAACTTGCTTCGAGCCGGCTGAAAATTGGTATGCGAAAAGAAACTTTTGACCTCAAATTATGGTTGAGGACTCCTAAAGAGAGGGGTCTATTATTTATTTATATATAATTTGGGGTGTCTTTTCGCCATTTTTTAATATGGCCGCCATTCAACAACTAATAAAAATTAACTCTAATTTAACAGAAAATTCGATATGTGGGGATCTGTATAGGTGTTTGATAATAATTTGTGGCCGAAATTTATTTTTCGCCATTTTTCAATATGGCTGCTATACAAACTTTTTAGCGCCAGATAAAAATTTGCTCTAATTCGATTGAAAGTGGGCATGTCAGGGTCTCTATAAGTGTTTAATAATAATTAGCGGTCAAAATTCATTTTTCACCTTTTTTCAATATGGCTGCCATACAAGCTTTTTTGGCGGTAGATAAAAATTTCTTTTAATTCGACTGAAAATGGCATGGCTTCAATCACAATTTGGGGTAAAAATTTTGTTTCTGCCGTTTTTCGATACAGCCGCAATTTTTTATGTAAATGGCTATTGAAAAAACTTGCTTTGCTCGGACTGAAAATTGGCACGAAAAGATTTCTAAGATTGTTTGATAATAATTAGTGGTGAAAATATATTTTTGCAATTTTTAAATATGGCGGCCATTAAAGAGCTATTTCAATTTTTTTTAAACAAAGCCTTAAGTGCCGAAGGCGAATCCCGAAGCGTCCGCACGCCATCAAATGGAGATAATGTACGGAGATGTAATAGATTACGAGTACAAGATGTCACAATTGTAAAAATGTTAAGCATGCTTCCCAATGTAGTGGAAATGAGATACTTATTATAGCGTTGTTGTATCTCAACTATCTCTATGTTAGATTTCATTTTCTTGAAAGCTATGCCAAAGAGAAGTATTTAGGGGGAAAAAAATGTCAAACTACCGCCGAATTTCCTGTACTATGTAGGTACTATGAATACCAAATCAACGATAACCCAGAATACTCAGACCAAAATCAACTTAGAAATGCTCGTTTCTTAAATTGGCATAAATCGGGAATCGACCTCCTCATCAAGCGCCCATAGTACTAACTGCTGTGCCACCGAAGAGCATGAGCACACCCCGTAAACTGATTCCGACCACGCGCCGCAGGCCGAGCCCAAGCCCACCGTAGGTGGGGTACAGGGCTCGTACAATATATTATAATGTAGATCTCTATATTATAGAGATCTATATTATAGAGATATAATGTAGATCTCTATATTATAGAGATCTACATTAATCTCTCTCCAAGTTTTCAGTCGTATAAATTTGTGTCGTCAATCTACTGCCGCCTATTTTACATGACAAAACCATGGAAGCATTCTTTTTTTAAAACCAGAACACGTACCTTCCAGTAAGAATTGTTTTATTGCCTACAGAACCAACTCCCGCGCAGCCAGCGCCTAAGCCGGCGATAGTGAAGGCTCCCAAGAACGCCAAAATCAATCAAAAGGTATGTAATATTTATATTCATCACACTTGCTCGTAAGTATCAGTATAATGTACAACTGAACTGCGCGGTATTATTATCTTACGGCCCAAGGGCGGTATTGATTTTTTTTGTTTTATTTCTGTTCCACCGCCACCCGCTCGAAGCGCGGGAGCCTCGAGGTAGAAGTTTTTGTGAGATACCTTACATACGTATAAACACCATGACTTATGTACGTAAATTCATTGGTTTCTCACAGGTTTCTTGCCACGGCAAGAAAGCCGACATAGAGAAATTTGTAAGGTCTGCTAACTTGTTCCGTATCTCAGTTGGGAGAGCGATAGCCCCGGCTTGGCGAAAAAGTCGCTGGTCCACTCGAAAGAATTTTTCTTTGTTCGCACAAACGTGCGATCTTTGTATTTATAATAATCACAAACTACTGAAGTCATCAACAACCCGTTTGTACTTCCCCCTGCTGAGGACGGGTCTCTTCTCAGGGGAGGGTTACTGACTCAACGCAGGTCAACTTCTGAACCTTCTCGTACGTGCAGCTCATGGTAAAGGAGTTGTTTCTTTAGTGGTACTAAAATAAATGGAAAATTTAATCAGCCTATTAGTTGGTTTTTTCCACACGCAAAATAGGCGCTTTGTCGTCGAGTTGCGGATACCAGCCCGTTGCACCAAGTACCAAGTAGTTGGTTTTTTGTAAGGAGCCCTCAAAATCTAGAAAGTCTAAATTAAAAACAAATTATTTTTGACCTGCGATTTCCAGAAAATCGTCAGGGATTTTTAAAACTATGTAGAGTAAAACGGAACGCAATCCCGCGGAACGGATTTTTATGTAATTTTTTGGCTTTAATAAAAAATATATTTTGGAATGTTCTTTGGCAAATTAAGTATAAAGTGCTACGACCTCAAGTTTGCTTATGCGCTTTCTCTGTGTTCGTTAGATCTATTCGCCAAGTTTTATTGAAAACCGTTAACGAAAAGTGGATGAAATCTAATGAATAAGTATCAAATTAGTTTGACTCACTTAGAGGTGAAATATTTTTTTCAAAATACAATGGAACCACTACAGAAGTATCCCCGTTGAAATCGGTTCACAAATGCCGGAGTAATCGCATAACATACACACACAAAAATACAGTCGCTTGCCGGGTCGGGTACACGGCGGGTGTAATTCCGTGTATTTATTATGAACGACAACACACCTCGCGCGGGCGCGAGACGGGCTCAGCTCGTGTCCCGCACCCGCTCGTGGTGTGTTGTCGTCCATATAAATACACGGTATTACACCCGCCGTGCTCCAGACCCAACACGCACCCGAACCGCGCCCGTTCTTTGTGTGCTTCACGCATTAGGCCACCGAGGTCGTCAATATCTTATTTATTTGGGAAACTCGGTATTTGTGTAAGATGACAATAACAAGGTATTATTTCATTGATAATATAATACTAATAATTTATTGTACATAAAAATAGAACATGTTACATGGCATAGCTTATAATTAAACAGGTTTTTTACAACAGTGTCAAAATAGGTGGCGATACATTCCACCCCTGAACTAGGTTGTAACCTGTTCTCAGGTGTTAGCATTGTCAAAGTATCTAGGTGTTTCACACAGCCCAATACTAAATATATTACATTACTTTAAATATACTACAAATATCACGATAAATAAAATAACAAGGAACACGACATCGGCTTTCATTAAAAACTAAAAAGGAAACTATTCAACCATAGCCAATTACGAACTTTCAATTTCTTCGCTATGTTACGCCGGGCCCTTAGGAACGACGCCCGTTTCGTTTTTTATTTGTTCCACTATTTGCTTTTGCATATAAAAACTCTTTTAAATTGCACAACAGTAATCTGTAACAATAAACAAACCATAAACAATAGACTTTTTCTTCGCCATGTTGAAAAGAAAATGATTTTTTTTGTTCTATCTTTAATTACAAACTAACGTTACCATGGTGAAAACTTCAAATATATTGCCAATTAGAGATAGTTACAACTTAGCATAGACACCAGCGTTACATAGAGCAATTTGCATGGACACCAACGGTACCACTACAAAGCCGGGTACTCACTAGCGAGTTGTAACCCTAACCGTTCCATGTTATGTAACCAAAAGTCGTAGTGTGTATGTGGTTCGCGAACTTGCCGCGAGCGGTTCGCAGTGGACCGTCTGATTGAAGACTGTTTCAAGCGTATACTCTAGAACCTTGTTTGTCACTTTACAGTTACAGCATGCTAATGAGTACCCGGTTATAGAGCAACACTGCATAGAAACTAGCGATACCACTAACGTCGTAGATAAGTTAGTGGGTGTGTATAATCTGCAAAATACAGTGATAACTGTGTACGAGTCATATGCGTGCGCATGGATACATTTCTATTGTCTCAGTAATTAATTATTATGCCGTTTACTTTACTCATTGTTGCCTGGTTTAACCATAACGGAAACTCATGACGAATCTCGCGTATCGGAGATGATACACACACTGCAAAGACGTGTGGATTGCCCAACCCGCATAGGACCAGCGTGATCAACCACCCCCTAAACCTTCTCTTTAGAGGTTACCTATGCCCACTAATAGGAAGCATATGAGTTAATAATGGATTATAATAGTTTATTGCATTGCCTTGCTTTGTATCTATCCAGATAAACATATTTGTATTATTAAGGGCGCATTCAAATTAGACTGTTGTGGAAGCGCTGCAGCGGCGTGACTAGTGGCGTGGCAGCCGCGCTTAAATTATTTTCAACCGACTTCGAAAAAAGGAGGAGGTTCTCAATTTAGCTGTATTTTTTTTGTATGTGTGGTACGCAATAACTCTGGCATTTGGATGATTCTTTTTAGTTGGAAAGAGGGTACCTCGGTAGTGGTCCCATTTAAATGTTAAATAAAATTCCGCCTCCAAGGGTGGCAAACTAGGGGATGAATCCGTCTTCGCGCACTTTCCGGTAACCGACTTCAATAAAACTTGGCAAATAGAAGTAATTCCACGAACTTTTGAGGTCGGTTTTTTTAGTACTCTGTACTGAGATTATTAGTTCACAAATTGTGACTGCAAAAGTGGCACGCGCATGTCACTGGTTCTGCAACTGCGCTTCTAAATATGGTACGAAAATTAGTAAGTGGCGCATCTTATTTGAAGGCGACAAAAAATTCTTAATGTAGCTGTGCTGTCGAATGAAATGAAGCTCAGCACACCGGTGGTCCAACGGTTCGCACTGTGGCCACTAGACGATGAGGTGTCGGGTTCGATTACCAGTAGAGCCAATTTGGATAAGGTAACTCCCTAGTTTGAGACCCGGGTATTGGTGTGGTCTGCCACATTATTATACTGTGCTTTATATAGTCCTACCGACCAACTCATGGGATACGAGTGGTGTCGTTGGTGTCTACGCAGATCGATACATATGAAAGGACGATGACCGGTGCAATATGGAGGCATGACCTAACCTTAAATGTTTAGCTTATGTTCATAAGCTAAGCATGGCGCATTTTAAAGCACATATGACCTAGATTCTGAATCTATTCCTAGATTTTCATTGAAAGCAGCGGATTTTTATATATTTATTAATAAAAAAAGCTACTTTTCCTAACCTGTAACAGTTTAATAATACAACAAACGTATAACGCACACACACTCAACATAGCCCAGCACTAGGGAAACATAGATAGAGAGAGAGCATAGACAAACACAAATTACACCCACACTCACGAGCCCGAGAGAGGCCCGGGAATCGAACCTGGAACCCTGCGTGGCATGTTAATCGTTCGGCCACAGAGGCAGTTAAATTGTATATGTATGGGATTACATTCCATGTATATTGAAAAATAAAAAGAAGCTCTTATAGTAGTAATATTTCAGAAAATTTTTCCTTAAAAATAAGGTATATTACAACTCACACATCTGGCAACACCTGAGCATACTAATTATTCTATGCTGCAATCTATCACCTTTCGTCGTAATTAATACTGAACCAGAAATGCAACAGAATTACAAATAATCTTTTTTTAATTCAAATTAAACTGCTGCTTTGATGGGTTCTGGACTGTTATCAAAAATGTAGTTTTAATAAATGTAGAGTAATTAAAAATATGAATTTGCGGGACATACTAAGTAAGATGAGGGCAGTAACGGTCATCATACTTTAGAATCATATTAGCTGTATTCCCTTCTCCTGCCGTATCATAGATACGGTGGGCGGCACTGGAGTGTATTATTATGTAATAAAAATAGTCGCCCTAATGTGAATTGCTGCGCAGAAAACAAGTTTTAAAATTTGCAACGTGACGTTGTTTTGTTTCTTTACTCACCGAACGCTAGTCATGGGCACGCGCTATTTTATCGATACCTCTATTTAACTATGAATAAACTGCACTATGACCTTGAATTATTTGTGTTTTTCTATTGATTTTTGATATTAAAAAGAAGTTCTTTATATTTTCACAACTTGGTAGGATTCCTACTCAAATTGGTCGGTTATTATATGGTTATTTATTACAATAATTATTCTTTGATACTATTAAAGAGACGTTATCAAAAATTTATGATTTGATTAACAATTGTACGTAATTCTTGTACGTAGAATCTTTATCAATGATATATATGATAGATTATCATGTTTTCCATATTTAATTTTTTAAGATTTTACAATAAAATGATAACGTTATGAACGTTAAGGTCAAAAGTCATGATCGCAGTGAATCTTCGAGTGAGAAAATTAACTTGTCGCTTTTTAATCTATAAGAACTTTTCAAGCTAACGTGGATATTAATTTTGGAAAAGCGTAAATTACTTCGACTTCCATAAATCGCAACAGCACATCACTAATTCAGTTCAACGCTACACAGCGGGCCAGACGGTCGCGCGTCTCGGAAATATTCAAATTTGGAATTTCCCATTCCATTTTTAAAATTCAAATCTGACCATACAGTTTTTCTTTTTTTCACTCTCCTAAAAAAAAGGTTTTTTATTGTGTCGTGTTTTTATTGTAAGTGCAGTCG